CCCCAAAACCCCAAAACCCCAAAACCCCAAAACCCCTTTGAGACCCCAATGAATTGAAGTGTTATGAACTTATATCAGATTTGTGTTCTGATGATTCTCCATCCTCATCATCATTGGCATCGAACTTCATCAACACACTCATTCTGATATCTGGGCAGTTTTCTTCATCTTTTTCATAATCTTGTCTGACTCTTGAGACTCTAAATTCTACTTCGAAGGGATCGTTATCATTATTTTTGAGTTCAAAATTTTCATCAAAGCCAAAGAACTCCTGAAACTTTGTGATTGTATCCATGTAAGAGTTAGGAATTGTGCATGTCATTTCAGAATTCTGAATAGACCTTCTATCTATGTTCATAGTTTCCCTTGCTTTTATGTCAAACTGCACCTTTTTAGTAAACTCTTTGAGAAGATCATCTGTATCTTGAGCTCATTTTTCAGCAAGTAGGAGATTTATTTCCTTCTGGATCTCTTCCTCATTGATCTCTACCTTTCTAATCCACGGAGGTAGGGATGATTTCTCAGGAGATTGAGATGATCTATTTTCAGTGGCTTCTTCTTCGTCTTCCTCATCCTCATCATTTTCCTCGTCTTCATCTTCGCTATCGGACTCTTCTTCATCTTCAAGGCATTTATTGAGGTATTTCTTTCATTTTTCAAAGAAGAATATATCCCTTCGGGATTGTCTTATAAGAAGTTGGATGGACATCTCGTTAGCATTATCAAAGACTTTAATCTCTTCTTCAATCAAGGTGATACTCCTTGCAATGTTCACCCATACTTCTTCAGCATAGACTATATTTCTGAAGAGTTCAGCAAGGAGATCTTCTTTCCCTTCGTCATTATTGCTTGTTATTTTCTGCTTGATTCTCTTTTTGATATCTTCAATCTCTTCAATAGCATCAGAGAGAGCATAGAGATTGACCTCTAGTTCGAATACTTTCAGGTTTTTCTCGTTGTTTTCACCTACATTTTCAATGGAAAAGGCAGCCCGATGGTCAATTTCCTCCCCAGAGGTCTCGTCTTTGATAGTGACTTGACAAATCTCTATCATTTTGTTGTTCTTCATGTGGATCAGAAGGATCTCCTGTTCGATTTCATCGTAACAATATTTAATCTTCAGGAAATCTCTGATTTTACGCTCACTGATTATTTGTGATTTGATAACGGAATCATGAATTTCATCAGCTCTTTCTTCAAGTAGATCAAATGGGCAATATAGCCCTTTGGACAGCTCCCCGATATTAGTGCCTAATCCAAAGGAAGTGATGATCTTCTTCATAAATTTGGAGAAGTAGGAATGCGACTCTTGAAAATTTTTACCTATTCCTTCTAAAACAGCACTTGAAGAAACCAGCTGTTGTTCCTTCTTCAAATTCTTGATTATAGGAGAGAGAGCTTTCTCATCCTCAGGATTAAAGGATAATGAATTATAAACATCGTCAATGGTCATAAATAGCTTATGCTCAACTTCAAATGCTTTTATCATGCATCTGTTCCATGCCTCTAGCTTGTGCTCTTCTTCTTTCTTGCTAGTGTAGTCAAGATTATAATAGTAATAAAGCATGACCTCTTCTGAGTTATCAGACGTGTTACTTTTCGGATGCAAAACTTTGATGATTTCGTTAAACTTCTCTTCTTTAGTTTCTAAAATTTCCATTCTGATTTTGGTTATAGTTGTTAAAAATAATCAATTTAAGAGTCTTTTCCGGGGTTTTGGGGTTTTGGGGTTTTGGGGTTTTGGGGTTTTGGGG